ACCCACCTGGGCAACTTGGCGAGACCTCATCTCTACAATAAATCAAAAATTAGCCAGGCGTTGTAGTTCCAGCTACTTGGAAGGCTGAGGTGGAAGGATCGCTGGAGCCCAGCAGGTCGAGGCTGCTGTGGCCAGAAGCGTGTCACTGCACTCCAGTCTGGGTAACAGAATGAGACTCCAACTCAAAAAAAATCTCTCTGATTTGGGGCCTTCCAAGTAAATAGCTCCTTGATATAAGATGTCTTCCTTAGATCTGTGCCTCAGAACTCTCCTTAAAATGTGAATGCCTATAGGATCCGAATAAGAAGGAAAAAGGCAAATTTGTTGTAGTGCAGAAGTTTAAGTGCTGGTAGGATGTTTGAATTGTAAAACTATGGTTGTCTTTAGCAACAAAGCTTAGAAGGATTTTTAGCTCCATGAGGCTCATCTAGTCCTGTATATAAATACCTGGCTGTTGTCAATACAGAGTTTGGTCCTTTCTCCAAGTAGTCTGATGTAACAGGACACCCATTCAGGTTACACCTGCTGGAGAATTGGCTGTGCTTTTCCTGTCCAGACAATGGGGTCCCAGGACTACTCCCATACTACAAATTACCAGGACTTCTGCCACAGTGTATTGAGCCCTTCCCAAAGAGCTAAAGAGCTGATGCCTGTAGCTCTTGTGGCATGAATTCTCTTGACCATCACCCAACTGAGTGTAAGGATGTGGGTGAGACAGCTGGGGGAGCTGGGTGATAGGGCAAAGGCAACAGTAAAGCTGGCTTTTGTTTGACAAACTGTGATTCACGTTCTCCCTATAGAATAGAGGGCCCATTCAGAGAGGGGAAAACCGTGCAATTTGTTCCATCTTTGAAACTAAAAGAATGAAATAATATGCACATAACTTGCAGAGTACTTGCATACCGCTTATAGCAGAAGCAGCAGTTCTTTCTCTGCTCCACTCCTCTGCCCCGCCACCTTGCCCTCTCTAGATCTACTTTCAATTTTTTGTAGCTCTGCTAAATGTCTAAATACACAAATTTATCTGTTTGCAGCGTTGTCTTTTTTTTTTTTTACTTCTGATGACAGATTAAGAACTTTTGCCATCATTCCTCCCCCATTTCTCTTCCCAGTGGAACTGCATCATTTTTGATGAATCATTGTTCAGGGTTTACATTATCATATCCACATAAGTATTGTGAAATAGAGAATCAAGTAATGAGCTGTTGTTACATTTCCTTTGCCAATTTCTTCTTTTCAGCCTGCCAAGACATCCGTGTTATTCCTGTGTCCATTCCTTTCCTTGTGACTCAGAGGTCCTGGCTAATACAACTCAGTGTTTCCTAGCCAGTGTGCCTTGAGTGGGTCATAGATGCGCTGAGATTCTAATGTCATCTGTTTCTCCACCCAGCCACATATCAGTCCTGGGAACCCGTTCCTGGGAAGGTTTTCTTAGATCATAGACCCACAGGAAGAGAGTCTCTTTTTTTCCCCTCCAACTTACGGACTCCCAACCTACAAACAAGGAGCCTGAGAGAAGGTAGCAAACATGGTGAGGATGCTGAGCCAGAGGTGGGAAATATCTTGAACTTTGATGATGTTGGACTGCTGAATAAATTAACTCTTGGAGCTGTGCTAACCCTGGTCTTCTGGTTATGGGAGAGAATAAACCCCTACTTTAGGTTATGCATTAGATCTTTCGAAACGAAAACAGAAGTGTGCTAACCTGACTGCCTCTGAAAACTAATTTCCACACCATCCAACATAGCGGGTCAACTAAGCATTTCCACTTTCTCCTGGAGATGCCCCTCCTGGCCTCCCAGATGCCCTGATAACCTGCTGCATATCTACCATCGTCATCTTGGCCTTCATTTCTCTCCTATGGAAAGTCCATTTCTCTGATCCCCTGCATTTCTCTTAACACCCCATTTCTCAGTGGAGTCCAACCTCTAGTAGCTTCCTGAGAAAGAACGCACATGAGGTAAAACTATAAAGACCTTGCAGGTCTGAGTCTCTTTATATCTACTCTTTCACACCCATATACCTAGTCTAGCTGGTTATGAAATTCTAGTTTAACAACTTGCCTCAGAATTTGAAGGCATTGGTCAATATTGTCTTTGGCTTGCAAAGTTGGCAGTGGAAGTCCTTTGCCATCCTTATTCTCAATCTTTGTATTTGGCCATCTTTGACAGAGGAGGGGATTTCTCTACAAGTTGACATTTTTTCTTTAATCTCTAGCCGCCTTATATTTCAGGATCATGTGCACTGGTACGCGGCGTGTGTATCTGCTTTCATTCTATATGCTGGATACTTGGTGAACATTTTCATTCTTGATGTTTCTGCATTTTTTCTCTGATTTTTTTAATACTACCTCCCCACTTCCTGCTTATTGTTTCTCTTTGAACTCCTGTGACTCATTTTTTCACCTTTTGTTAATGGTTTGCTCCTCTAATCTTTTTTTTTTTCCCCTCCTATTTTTCATTTCTCTAACTTTTTGCTTTGCTTTCTGGATGAGATATTTCCTCCACTTTCTCTACCAGCCCTTCCATTGAAGTGTCCTTTTCTTGTTTCTTGAATTCAGTATAATGTCTCTGGGATGTTGTATTTTGTGACTGTTTGCTCATTTTGCTTTACTTTGTTTCTTGTCTGTCATCTACTCTTTCTGTTTGTTTTGCTCTTTATGTTTGAGGCTTTCCTAGAGAGGTCTTTGACTTTCATATTTAAGACACTTAAGACCAATGAGAAAGGGGGCAGTCTTTACTTCCTGATGACTCTACTGTTTGGGTGACCAGCTGTGGATCCTGCTGTTTCGGTGGGATCCTCCAGACAACAGTATCTCAGTATCTGTAGGCTTTTCTGGGACTTTTCAGTGCCTCATGAGGGAAATCCTCTCACAGCCAGTGTTCAATTGCTCAACACTCAAGGTGCAGATTTCACCTGCTTTTATACAGTGCCTTTCCCTCGTGCCCTCATATCTGGGCCCCTGTTTTTCATTCCAGTTTTCCTCAGTACCTGATGCCTCTAGTTGCAGGGATTTTCTGGTCTGTCATGAGAATTGACTTTCTTCTCTCCATGCACTAGGTATTCAGCTTTCTCAGTTCCGCTACTTTCTCCAGTGCTTCCTATTGATCCTGTTGCTATCACTTGTGCACAGATGGCTTCTCTCCTGTTTACTTTGTTCCTGTGAGTTTATACCATTTTTATTATTTTAATCTTACCTTTCTGGGAGAAACAGAGATAAACTCAACAATATACTATTTTTAAGCAGACATTCATAACCAGCCTTAAACTAAAAACAACCTACCTGGCTTCATGGAGGGCTTATTTTTCGTGAAAGAGCCTACTGGATTTGAGAATGTCCTTAATCTGAAAATTCAACTTATTGTAGTTTTCAATCTGCTTCTACTCCATGCTTTTCCTCGGGATCAGATGTTGTCTAGAAGGAAGAAGAAGCCCATTTTCCCTTTAAGTCTGATGCAGTAAGCATTTGCACAATGGAATAAGGGTCTCTTAGAAGAAGTAGCTTCCTGCGTGACCAGACGCTAAGGAGTGGCTCTTTAAAATATGAGATGGCACTTCTGTTTCTATTTTCAGTGAAATTTGAAAAGGTTACATCTTAATTATAGCTGATTAATCATTTTTAAGAATAAGTCTTGCAAAAATTAGTATGTGTGTATTTAGAATAAAGGTTAAGAGAACACAAAGTCTCAGAGCAGCAACAGTATGGAGCCAGGAATCAAACCATTGCTAGACCAAAACTAATGAACTAAACAAAAATGTGCCACTTAAGTGCTTTTCTCGCCTCTGAGACTACTTAACCTAAGAAAACTACATTTCTGATCATCTCTATCTTTCTAAACTTAAAAACACCACCACCAATGTGCCCTAAGTCCATTAACTTTCCCAGGTGATTTTAAGATTTTCAAATGAACATTCTTGATCAGGATACATATATACTTGAATTGTGTCCTTTATGAATAGTAACTAAATGACCGCTCTACATTTCAGTGTGCAGACAGACACTGATTACTATGTATGTGTTTGTACCCAAAACAGTGCCCTGAAAGATACCCAGATGCTTTCACTCCCAGCCCTATAGAAGAATGGTATTTGGAATCTTTCATTCAGATGATTTATACGGAGTTTAAATATGGACTCATGCCCACTGCTGAATGTAAGTGGACAAACAGCCACAAAGAACATGGGAATGAAAAGTTTTGGTCCATGCTCTCTTGTTGTTAGGGAGTTAATTGCATCTTGAGAGGAAATGATTAGCTCTTAGTTGTGCCTGATGTGTGACATCTACTTGGGTAGAAGGTGAGAAGAGTCTGGTAAGGTCATGAGAATCATCTGACTTTGAGCTCTTGATGACTATAATTAGGCATATGAG